CAAAAGCACTCATTTCTTTTTGTATAAAGCTGATTCATTTCTTATCTTTAACATACTGTAAAACACCTTTTCAGTATTGGTATATTGAGCAGAATTAAGTTCAACTTATTTTTTATTCGGCCCCCCAACACAGCTCGAGTTTCTGAAGTGGCCCCTTGTAAAAAATAATTGCCCACCCCTGCCCTAGAGCATGGGTCGGCAACAGGCGGCCCGCGGGCCATTGTTGGCCCGCCAGCAATAATATTTGGCCCGTCATTTTGAGAATACAAAATCAAAAAATATTTTGAGATTTTTTCTTTTTTTTTTTTTTTACAACATCGGACCGACAGTCGCACATATAGGCTATAATGTCCGAATAGAGAATCTACCTACACCTGAAGAATGCTTATTGTACTTTTATCTATGTTGAGAATGAATGACATACAGCACAGGCACAATCAGGCAGCGGGGTGCACTGACGTCAATTAAAGTACTTATTTAAAGGACACCTATCATGCTATATTTAAATGATATATTGTAGGGCCATACCTATATAAGGTGTATTTATACGTTTCTGTTTTCAAAATACCAAACAGATCATGCATTTTAGCCATGCCTCATTTCACTCTATTTGCTGTTCTCCAGCCCTGTTTTTGCAGGGGGCTGATTCTGTGAGCTGCAGCTGACCACGCCCCCCTGCAGGAGAGGGGAGCGTGCTCTGATCAAGTCAGAAGAGGGGAAGAAAAAGAGATCTCCGTCCTCCGTGTTTTATTCTTATATTATTATAGAGAGTCGTTATTCATTTGTTTTAAAGCTCAATAAATAACAAAGAAGACCTTTGACCGGCACTTTTCTAATTTTGTCCGGAAGATTTAAACTTTAACGGACATCTTGACCGGCGAAAGAAAACCTAACTGAAACTCTGCCGCACGGTCGTTCCTTGGAAGAGGCGGAGAGGCGGAGAGGCGGAGAGGTGGGTGTTTGTCATCTGCTGGTGGACTAACCGGAGAGAATTACAGTGCTTGCCTCGGGGAGGGAGAACAAAAGCCACAGCGGAGAATAAACAGAAGGGTAACCATGGCAACCATGCGCGGGAAGTCTTCTTCGCTGCTTTTGTGGCAGACTACAGCGCCACGTACAGGCCTGGCATATGTACTACAGTGTCTCCAGCGCTTTCGAGCGGCAATGGCCGGCCGTGGCCCAACCCCACATTCCCCTGATAGGTGGAGAGTTGGCCCAATAGCCGTAGCGCCACCGTCCTGATGTCAGGACAGTGTTCAAATCTGGATCAGTTTTTATCAGATCCGTTGCAGCCCCTTTTTTAGAGATTTGGGTATGGAGGAAAATAGAGAGGGTTGTGTTTTCTGACACTTGGTGAGTTCCCTGGAACACCGGGGACACATATTCATGTAGAAAAGACGTACAAAAGTACATTTTGCATGATAGGTCCCCTTTAACTATTAAATACATTGAGTTGAGTAAAATACTTGGTTACTGATTAATTTAGGTTATAATATATTAAATAAATTGCAAAGCAAAACATGCTGTAATTTATTTATTTTGTATTTTTTAAAGGTTTTCAACCTGAAAGAATCCTAATGTGTCCTTGAAAAGTTGAAATAAAGAAAAGGAAAAAGGATTCCAGTTGTCCATGCATCCTCTGTTGCCCCTCAAGCCTCTCAAATGTGGGCAAACACTCAAATAAATGCCAAAAACCCAGAGAACTTGACAATACTTATCAGAATAAAAGTATGTTAAATAACACTGCTACCTAGTTAATAACTCACTCAGTGGAGGCTCGTCCATTGAGGAAAGGGAGGACCATCCTCCCTAAAATTTCAGAAGAAAATTAACTTTGAAGAGAACAATAAATGCACCTCAATTTAAAAGATAAGTCTGTTAAAATACAGATAATAGCCCTGACTTTTAACATGGGACTGAAATGGGGCTAGAGACGACGATCCTCCCTTTAGGCGGGTCTATCCAGAGGCTCTGGATTGGGCGCCTATATCATCAGTGAACCAATCAGCGGATCTGACTGGGCATTAGAGTGTTGATGGGGAGGGTTATCAGCAATATCAGAGTTTTTTCTGAACCGGGGAACAGGGGCGCTGCGCCCTCTTACCAAAATAAATTCCTTGAATTAGGCTTTGATTATGTTCTGGCCCGCCATCTTGTGGCTCAGCAAAAAATTGGCCCACGGCCAAACTTACTTGCCTACCCCTGCCCTAGAGAGAGGGTGTTCTCCACAGCAGGAGACATTAGTGCCAGCAGATCTGCCCTTTCAGCAAGCAATGTGGACAAGTTCATCTTTCTTTAAAAAAACATGAAAATACAATGACAAGCAAGCAAGTCCTAATGTCAAGCTGGCTGCTTAGGGGAGTACTAGAACACTACAGTTCAAATACAGATTATTTCAGTTCATCGAAATGCTGCACCTTAATGTTTATGTTATTATATTTTGTATTTGAGTGAATTCACAGTTTAATAATAATTAAAAAACCCCAACAAATATTTTATGTTTTGAGATCATTTTTTCTGCTGTACCGAAAACGTACCGAACCGTGACCTTAAAACTGAGGTACTGTACGTACCGAACCGAAATGTTTGTGAACCGTTACACCCCTAGTGTACAGATATAAATCATTAGTCAAAATAGGGCTACATTTGACTGAATTATAAAAGGTATATATTATAAATAGGGCTGTCAGTCGATTAAAATATTTAATCGCGATTAATCGCATGATTGTCCATAGTTAATCGCGATTAATCGCAAATTAATCGCACATTTTGTATCTGTTCTAAATGTACCTTAGAGGGATATTTTTCAAGTTTTTAATACTCTTATCAACATATGAGTGGACAAATATGCTTTATATGTTTGTTTATTATCATTTGAACAATGACAAATATTCTCATGAATATTAAACACAACAACCTGAACATTACAAATATTCACCTCAATTCAACCTGGAACCTCTCTCATACAATACTGTGTGTGTGTGTGTGTGTGTGTGTGTGTGTGTGTGTGTGTGTGTGTGTGTGTGTGTGTGTGTGTGTGTGTGTGTGTGTGTGTGTGTGTGTGTGTGTGTGTGTGTGTGTGTGTAGACACTGTGATGGATCGTTGGAGCTACAGTATGTGCAGCTCAAGGCATATATGCTCGAACGGGAGCTGCAATCATGTAGCGCGTACTATCCGTGCTGAGTGTGCTGACTTTTCGTACAATGTCCCACTGTCTGGCTACCTGCATAAAGTCAAGTGCTCGGCGCAGTTGTCGGCGAAATGTCATTGAAACAGCTCCTTATATCCGTTAGCGCAGCTAGCTAGCACCAGATGCTAACAACAACAACACGTAAGGTGTGCCTCGCTCGCGCGAGTCGCCCCACACACACACACACACACACACACACACACACACACACACACACACACACACACCCTCCCGGTCCTCCCGATGGCCAGTCCGGGCCTGCCGGTGAGCGTGGAAGTGTGGTCTGCCACAAGCGGGCGGCAGGAGCGGGGCTGTAGCATCAGCTTGTAGATGGTATTTTAAACTCGATGCGCTCTGAAACTCGGCGGCCGAGGACAAAAATTACACATGCGTTAATCGCGTTAAAATAATTAGTGGCGTTAATTTTTTTTTGCGTTAACGCGTTATTAACGCGTTAACTTGACAGCCCTAATTATAAAAGGTATATATTCGGGACCCCCTTGAAAACGAGATGGTGCATCTCAAGGGGTTTATCCCAATAAATGAATTTCTATATATATATATGTGGTAAAATGAAGAGCCGTTTGGGAGCCGAAAGAGCCGGCTCTTCTTGGTGAGCCGAGCCAAATAATCCGGCTCACTAAAAATAGCCGGAATTCCCATCACTAATGGAGACTACTTACTTTTATTTCAACCTGTGATAAAAGAGTTAAACATTTGAACCTGCAGATGTGAATCAAAGGCAGTACATGTGTTTGTATAATAGTGATATTTACACACAGTATAATTCAAATGATCAAGCAGGTAAATTACATTACTGTATGATCACAAACTATTGATGTTTAACTCCCTCCCACATTTTTAAGATTCGGTTATGATGAGGTATTGTTAAGAATGAAAGTAAAGTTTTACAAAATGTCATTATCATCAGAGTACATGTCGTATGAAAAAACCCTTTCCCTCAGTATGTTTACCTCAAGCACTTATTTGTGTATCACCGTCACAAAGAGTCTACACTGTTTTGTAATATACTGTTGGAGTTTTTCAGAGAGAATCTCTGGTGGATGCTGTGCAGTATTGTGTTGTCTTTGCTCCAGAGGTTTGTGTACAGAGTTATGGTGTTTCCTGTCACTGTGGGCCTCAGAGCACAGTAGTACACAGCAGAGTCTGTCACTGCAGCAGAGGAGATCTGCAGAGGAACTGATGTCTTGTTGAGTGTAGCCTCAAATCTGTCTTCCTTGAACTCTGCAGCATTATCTCGACCTCCTGAGAAACGCTTCAGCATGTACTTTGGGTAACCATTGACTTCTTGTTTGTACCAGAACAGATAGGGATATGTGCCACTGATATGAAATGTGCAGTCAAGTGTAACTGTGTCTCCTTCAGTAGCGCTGACATCTCCTGCTGGCTGGGTCACTGTGTCTTGTCCTTTACACTCTGGGGAAGAAGAGACCATGCAGAGGAAGAGATGAATCAATAAAGATGATGGATTAAAGGAGAACAATCAGTAGCTTTAAACAGTTACCTAGAAACATGTTGTAGTTTCTATCTTACCAAAGGAGAGAGCAGCAAGAATAATCCACAGCCAATGTTCCATCTCTACAACAAGGTTTAAATCAGCAGCAGGAAGTAGCTGATGTTCAGCATTCAGTGTGAGGATGGTTCTCTTCACAGCAGCACTTCTTATTGACTGGATGGTTGAACACAGTGCAGAAGACGTGCACCGCCTACTTGATAATGTGGCCCTCTAGTGGAGGTGAACAGCTCAGTACAACAGTGTGGAGAAAAGGCTTCCAGCAGCTTGTCAGTGTGTCAGCTGGTGTTTGTGTACAGAGTGTTGGTGTTTCCTGTCACTGTGGGCCTCACAGCACAGTAGAACACAGCAGAGTCTGTCACTGCAGCAGAGGAGATGCTCAGATTGATTTGGTTTGACTCCACTGTAATATTCAGTCCAGGGATCAGATTATTCATAATGTTTCCAGTTCCTAAATGAGAGATGATGAACTCTGGTGGTTTTCCTGGATATTGTCGATACCAGTAAAACTCATCACCACCAGTTGCTTCTTTGGAGTATCTGTAGGACAGAGTAACAGAGCTGCCTTCTGGACTGAACTCTTCTTTCTGTAATGCAGTGAGATCTTCACAGCTGACCCCTGAAGAGAGGAGTAATTCAAAAGACTCAGTTAATAGATCACATTTTATCAACATTAGAAGTTAACGTTTTCATGCAGAATGTTACGTACCTCTTAGAATGGAAACTAACAGTAGGGAATGTACATAATAGTCTAATGACAGCATGTTGATTGAAGGTGATGATGATGGTCTGTGTTGAACTCTGGTGAATATGGAAGTTCCTCTCTCTTCTATAGTTCAGGAACATCTTAGCTCCTCCCTGAATCTCTCTGTCTCCTCTTAGATCTGTATTTCACTTCTCTCAATTTCTTTTTTCATGTTATCACGTGTGTGTCGTCTGCATAGCTATGGTAACTTATTTCATTGTTATCCATTAACTAAGCTAGTGGAAGCATGTAGATGTTAAAGAGAAGAGTCCCCAGGATGGAGCCTTGAGGAACGCCACATGTCATATTCGTCAACTCAGTTGTTTAGTTACCTATAGAAACAACGTTTTTCCTGTCTGTTAAGTAGCATTCAGACCAATACAAACAGTGCAGGAGAGTCCCACCCAGTTTTCCAGTCGGTCTAGTAATATGTTGTGTTCAACAGTTTAAAATGCAGAGCTGAGATCTAATAATACTGACAGTGATGCGGCTTTCACACCAGCGCTTTTCCCTTTCTAGCTCCTAGCTAGAGCTTTTCTGGTTCAGCTCCGGTTTCCCTTTTCAGCTCCCGCTCTGTTCACACCGCCCAGCTGCCGCCGCTGCGTCATGACGTCACCGTTTACATCGCTGATTTGCTCCCCAACAATGCTCACAACAACAACGGGGGGGGGGACTGCGTCGGGTCGATGATCGTGTTGCTTTTAATCATACGAAGCCAGATTAAATGAAATAACGACTTCTCCAACCTTATACTTTTCTTCAGAGTGCCGTGGTTCATTGTTTATTAATGTGTTTCAGCGGCATTTAGCGCCCGCTGCAGTGCTGGCTGCTCTTCAACGGGAGTGTATTCTCCCGTTAGCTCCGGGTTAGCTCACACGGCTCTAAAGTATTCACTGTCTGACTGTCACACAAGCAGCTGATACATATCCCCAGTTCCCCTTAAGTGAATGTGTGTCAGTCTGAATTGACGCTGTTTGGCATCACAACGCTGTTATGAAAGTTTCTCTGGTATAACATGGGTGATGTTAGCATAGCAAACGAAGCTAAACTGACTACTTGCTAAGCCGTGTTCTACAGGCACATTTTACCGGCGTATTTTTCATTATGATTCTACTTGTGATAGTCGGACATGACAACCTGGGTCGACTGAAGAGTCTCGTCATGCCTGCCTACAAGCAGTAGCGCTGAGCAAAGTGACTAGAAGGCAACCACACACTTATAAAAAGAACACGCTTTATAAAGTCAGGCAACACTAACCAGGCTTCGTGTGATTCTGTTTATTTGTACCTTACTTTGACCATCCGTTCGCTGTTATTGATCATTGTGGAGAGCAGGCAGACGTTTTGTTTGTTATTATAGCAGCTATCGGATGGAATCAATACATGGGCTGCACGGGTTCAGGGGAGGTGGGTTTAGTTTCCTGCACGCCTCGACGTAAGCGACGCCGCGTCATAGCTCCGAAGCTCTTGCCTCTAGACCAACAATTTTTTGGAGCTGGAAGTGAACCGCATTCCAGAGCTATGACGCGGCGCCGCTGCGGTGTGAACAGGAAAAAGCGCCGGTGTGAAAGGGGCATGAGATTCTGCCACTGTCTGTGTTTAAGTGGATGTCATTAAAGACGTTAATTAGAGCAGTCTCAGTGCTGTGTGACTGGAACACATCAAAATAATTATTAATTGCCAATAAAAAATGTTTGCTGTTGAAAACCACCTTTTAATTATTTTACCCGGCCTATAAATGTTCATCAGTGAAGCGCCTAGGTTTGTCTTTAAGAGTGGTTTGATGACTGCAGTTTTCAGGGCCTGTGGGAATAAATATGAAAAACAGGAAGTGTTGGTGAAGGTCCATCAGGAGTCTGGCAGATGGTGGAATGCTCTCATTGAACATTATTAGGATAAATGTGAGAGATAAATTAAAGTAACGTGGTGTTGAAGCATCAAATAAAAGATGCCTCTCTGCTGGGGGTTGAATTGTTTGAGCATTAGTTGTGTTGTTTCCCTAAAGTCTAACAGAGAGAGACTCCCTCTGGTGGATGCTGTGCAGTACTGTGTTGTCTTTGCTCCAAAGGTTTTTGTACAGAGTGTTGGTGTTTCCTGTCACTGTGGGCTGCAGAGCACAGTAGTACACAGCAGAGTCTGTCACTGCAGCAGAGGAGATGATCATATTAATTTGGTTCAATTCCACTTCAATCTTCAGTCCAGGGATTGTAGCTTTAATTATTTCTCCTCTTACTAAATGAGAGATGAGGAACTCTGGTGGCTTTCCAGGATATTGTCGATACCAGAAGAAATAATTAGCGTTAGATCCAGCTTTGTAGGACAGAGTAACAGTGCTGCCTTCTGAACTGAACTCTTCTGTTTTGACTGGAGTCAGATCTTCACAGCTGACGCCTAAGGGAAAGAATAACTCTGTTATTCAATGTTATAAAAGTCCTTTTAGCAGAACCACACTCAGAAAGCGTTGACACTGATTTCTACTAACCGGATAAGATTGCAAACATCATCAGAGAAAATGCTGAGTTCTGCAGGGACAGCATGTTGAATGAAGGTGATGATGATGGTCTGTGTTGAACTCTGGTGAATATGGAAGTTCCTCTCTCTTCTATAGTTCAGGAACATCTTAGCTCCTCCCTGAATCTCTCTGTCTCCTCTTAGATCTGTATTTCACTTCTCTCAGTTACACTTCCTCCTGGGTAACAGATCCAAAGGCAGTCTGTAAATAAAAAGTCAGAGGACCTAGGATTGAACTCTGTGGTACACCACAATAAATCACAGACCACCAGAGTAACTTGTTTTAAAAAGATAAGAACAAAAGCAATCAAAACTTGAGTGTGTGATGTGTACCAGTTTATTGAGAGAGGTGATTTAAAGTGTTTGATCAGTCAGCAAATAAAAACGTAATAATAACAATGACGGGCGTTAACGTGAAGTCATATTAGTGAGAGGTGCTTCATCGAGAGAGAAATCTGTTTAAAATGATCTTAATCTATTACAAATATTTCTTCAGATCCAACATTTAAAAGGTCTTGAACACCACAACACAAGCTGCTGTTCCAATAGAACCTTTCATCAAATTGGGCTTGGAGATAAACTGAATCCAATGACAAAGTGAAAGGACCTAGGATTGAACCCTGTGGTACACCACATGAAATCACAGACTGACAGAAAATTAGAGACACTTATTTTAAATTCATGGAGACTACATATTAGGTTTAATCTGTGATAACAGGTCAGATTCACTGATTGATTTAAACATTTGAACCTGTGGATGTGACTCAAAGGCAGTACATGTGTTTCTATGGTAGTGCACAATAGTTCATACATTTCAAATGATCAAGCAGGTAAACTAAATGATTGTATCATCACAAACTATTGATGTTTGTCAGAGAGAGACTCCCTCTGGTGGATGCTGTGCAGTATTGTGTTGTCTTTGCTCCAAAGGTTTTTGTACAGAGTGTAGGTGTTTCCTGTCACTGTGGGCCTCAGAGCACAGTAGTACACAGCAGAGTCTGTCTCTTTAGCTGAGATGATCTCCAGATCAACTCGTTTCTCTGTTTTGTCAATGTGAGCAGAGAAATCAGATTCAGTGGGATGGATCCCTCCTGCCTCTGTGATGGAGAGCAGGAACTCTGGTCTGGATCTCTGGTATTGTCGGTACCACTGGATATTGTAGATAGTCCCCTCATATTTACATGTCAGGCTGATGTTTCTGCCCTCTGCAACATGTTCTTCACTTCTTTCTGGCTTTATGCTGTTCATGGAGCCCAGGGCTGCAAAATGAGAATTATTCATGTCAGTTAGTCTGCAGGAGATTTTAACATTAAGAGACTCAACGGAGGGTCTTCAATTTCCTGTCATCTTTGATCAGTTTGAGATAAAACATGACCAAATGTCTTCATAGATCACAACGGTTGCTGCCTTACACAATAAAACCTCCAGTTATGAAATCTCTGGCTAATACAGCGGGTTAAATGAGACTTTATCTCTGTTCCAACACTCACCTATGAAGAGAGAGAAGAGTAACCAGAGGTAAAGCAACATGTCTTTGGAGATGGTAAAGTCGAACAGTCAGCAGATGAGTTCTCCTCCTGCAGAAGTGAAGCAGGAAACAGCCTCTCTGCTGCTCAGCCCTTCTCCTCAACATCAGATGATTGTGCTTTTAGTTCCTCAAACATCTCACAAATCATCTCATTGGTTGATATAAACGTCAGTGGGCGGGGCCAGAGAATCATGTTTTACTCGTTTTAAACCATCAAAATACTTTTCTGACATTTAAATCATTTAGTTCTCTTTGTGTTTCTCACTGACTCATACATTGAAATGTACAAACATTTAGCAATTACAATGACAGGCGTTAACGTAATCCGTGTATCTACCGTCCATTGGTTTTTCTTTATTAAACAAGTAAACGGAAGAGCATCTGAGAGGCCTTTTTGCTTTTTACCTTACTAAATGGTCTAAAGCAGCGGTTCTCAAACTGTGGCCCGCGAGGGTACTGCAGGTGGTCCGTGGAAAAAAGCTAAATAAAATCCACTTTTTATTATCAAGGATTTTCGGGGACCACCTCATAAGTGACCTGCTCTATCGAAATCAGTCGCATTGACCCGAAGACACATTTTGAGTTGTATACACTGTTGGAAAGAGGAGATTCCTAGCTTTCTAATCAGTGGTGTAGTGGGCCACTTATTGGGAGCATGATCTTTTTTTTAATAGTCTAATAAATATAAAATCATTGCCAGTGTTATCAGTTGCAAGTGTGTATTTGTTGTAATAATGACAAAAACATAATACATTTCACAGTAATTATAATAAAAAATAAAAACGATTTCCTTAAAAAATTATGATTCGTCAGCACGCTCGTGACCCCGCGGCGAGCTGGGGGTGTGTCAGTGACCAAGTGTGCAAGCTCGCCGCCCGCCGATTTATTTATTTTTTTGCTCTTTCCCTCAAGAACGCTAACGTAAAAGCTCTATAATGGCAGGCAAACATTTTTTACTTGACTTCTTTTCTAAAAAGAATATAATTCACAAGAAGAAAGAGGCTAGCAGCACCGAAGCTACAAGTGAAGCTGCTACTAGTACTACATCATCAGAAGAGCCGCCTAAAGACGTGGATAATGCTAGCACTAACGTTTACGTTCGCTGCGCTAGCAACGTTCCCCTGGCTCAAGCTCACCTTTGGTATGGACGGAGGAGATGTGGCGGAGGAAATACCCGTGGATAGACTGCAAAGCTGTGTGTGTGGTGTGTGTGTGTGTGTGTGTGTGTGTGTGTGTGTGTGTGGTGTGTGTGTGTGTGGTGTGTGTGTGTGTGTGTGTGTGTGTGTGTGGTGTGTGTGTGTGTGTGTGTGTGGTGTGTGTGATGTGTG